GAACATCCAGGTTTTTGTAGTTTCAAACAAAGAAAAGTTAGCAAATCTTGACATTAAAAAAAATGTACAATTTTCTAAATATTTTGTTATGGCTGATCTGTATTTTTGCATGATCGGGTAAATGCTTTACCAGAAAGGGGCAGTATAGGCACACAGGTGTAGGCAAGAGCCTGTTATTATAATTTACCAAGTACTCAAATCATTTGAGGAGAGCTGCCATTAACAGATGTGGCTGTGACTTTCCTTAACTGCTGGGCCAACTTACTGAGGACGTCATCTGATGTGCAGAGTTAGCATTGGATATAAAACTAGGTGTGTTTGCCCACCTCTGGCTTAAACAAGTCTCTAGTCGCTATTTCTGCTGGGTTAATAATTATTAGGAGCAGAGTCTTTGACCTACAAGGTCCAGATTTCCTGTACAGGAGTAGCTGGGATCTGATTTATTTATTTATTTAAAAAACAAAAAACAAACTGCGGAAGTATCACTGTTGAGCTGCTTGTGTTCATGTTAGTATGTAAAGCCCAACATCTCCCTCTAGTGGCCATATATGAACCATGTGTGAGGATGGTGTTAATGTAAATGTGAATGGTTCCAGTTCAGCTCCATAACAGCAGCGTCCCTGGTTTGATTCCTGTGTTTCAGCTCATATCTGCCTCTCTCACTGAGGGGGATGTAACTACATGGACATGGATTTGTTCATCAACCAAGCTACAGATCACTGAGAGCAGAGGACCTTAGATTATTATATTTATTATATCTTTTTTTTCCCTTTGTGAACTGATAAATATCCAATTACACATATAAGGAAATCCAAATTAAAATACTTTATAACAGTGTGTACATTTATTAGTTTTGCCTTTTCATTTACATTCATGGTGGACGAGACAGGTTTTTAAAAAAAAATTTATATTTTAAAAATATACTTTTACACATGATAGGCTATTCCCCACCACATTAAAAACCAATAGAAAGCTGGTGCTCAGAGGAAGAGGGCGGGCTTTACTTGGTGTCAGTGAGAGAAATGAAAAAAAGCTCAAATGAGTGAGAAGGACGATGAAGGAAACATCTGTGCTGTGTCTGCTCTGTAAGTAGAATCTCTGTGTTTGTTTGAATTCTTGTACTTTGACTGTCTGCTCTCCTGATAACTGATGATGGAGGAGAAGACATGAAAAACAAATCAGGCTGAATTCAAGTACAAGAGCAGTAAAACCAATAGAAAAAAAACCTATAAAATAGATTCAGATAAACAGAATAACATACTATGCAAAATAGAAAGAATACTAGACGATAGAATAAGTACTATACAAATACTTTGTTACTTTGGGAAAATTGCACTTGGTGCCATACATATGTGTGAGTTCGAAACATGAAATGTGTAACTGTCTTTAAAGCTTTGTGCTGCACATAGTGACCGTTACTCTCTGAGCTGTTTGTGGTTTAAACAGAAACTACAGGAACTCCATTTTTCTGTGTCTGGGGGAAGAAAGTTGCAGCTGTTTCATCAGAAAGCTGCTAAAAAAAAGAGGAAGTAAAATGTCTAAAACCTCCATAAACAGGCCATGAATCTAAAGCTGTTTAGAGCCGGTCAGAGCGCGCACGCTCCGTTCTGCATAACTATTTTTAAATCCCCGTAGAATCGGAACCACGTAAACTAGCTATGAAGTAAGCTCTGGTAGACTTGGTTCTATGGTCGGTCTTAAAGGGTTAATTAAATATGATTAATAAATACATTCAGTGAACTCACTCCAGTGTTTCGTTTTGTTCTTTTACTTTTTTATCATATTTATGTGACACCAACATTTCCATCTGTCAGATGGGGAACGTTTACTCTGCTTTTCTAGTATTTCTACTCACTGACACCTTAATGTTACGTACAGCTGAGCTTGAACCTGAACGTCTGACTAATCAGTGGCCTGTGGAGCCACGAGCCTCGGACCATCATCAGCAGCAGGTTTGTAGTTTTCAGTTACATGAGCGCAGTGATGGCGGCCATGTTTGAGGAATAACTTCTTCTGAGTTTATGTAGCCAGACACAGGTTCATACACATGATTCAACTTTAAAAGAATAAAACTAATTTTGTTGTTTTTGTAGCTTTTTAACAAAAGTATTTGATTACGTTTTTAAGCTCATGTGATTAAAAATAGTTCAGCTGCTGTTTGTTTGAATTTGGAATAACAATTAACTTTTCTTTCAGACATTTCCAAATGTCAGGCCTTGCAGCGCAGTTTGAAATGTGAAAATCTTTCATTCTGTGTATTTGCTGCACCCACTTGAATCAAAGAGCAACCCCACTCATTCGGCTCACTTGTGGTTCCCTGTCTCTATATATGAACACCTCACCCTGAAGTTATGTGAATAAATCAAAATGCTGCCTCACAGCACAGACCTGTGACAAGAACCAGAACATTT